CAGCTAACGTACATGACTGCGCTCTCGTGTTAAAATAAATCTCGTGGTTTTTTTCTCCCATCCTGTAGCCTGTAATAAATTGCACCATTACTATTAATTTACTGTAGCATCATGGGACATAGGAAAAAGGTGGATCATCTTTATTTCTATGTTTTGAATGTTTGATGCAGTTTTACAGTTTCTAAGCTCCTGGTTAAGTCAATTTTGCTCAGCTTTTACAGATAAAATGGTTAGCAATGTAAACAACACAGGCTCATTGTGAATGCAAACCATGTATTTACTTCTATCTATTTAATATAGATAAATCAATGACACCATTTATATTCTGCTATTAGCAGTGAGTCTTTTGTAAAATAATAATAATAATAATAATATTTTTAAAATAGATAAAGCACCTTTTCACCTGTCTGCATCATTCACACATGACATATTAAACATGCTGTAGTAGTTCCTAACAGCTTTTTTGAATTGCACTGTGCTGGTTTTCATTGTTTTTTGCTTGACTGATGTTTTCGACTACACTTTCGCATTCTGAATCTATTGGAGTGTATCTTGCAGAGTCTTGTGCTTGAAATGACTTTCTAAAATTGAGTCATTTAACTTATAAGACACTACCATACCTTTCTCAGTGAAAGGATGCGGCTGACAGGCCATCCGCTGCATAAAACAAATGCTGGCTAAGTTTGCGTTTCATTCCGCTGTGGTGACCGCTGACTAATAAAGGGACGAAGCTGAACAGAAAATGAATGAATGAAGACACTACCACACCTTGCGTTTTTTTCAATACTAAAGTGCAGTTGATGTGAAAAATTCTTAGGAGTAGCAATATTGTACAACCGTCTTCCATAAAGAGCACATTTTTTATTGACACTGTCATTGTGTGTATATGCTAATATATCATTTTTACAATTTTTGATTCCCTGATTTAAACAGATGTGGCAAATTAAATAAATGATAAAATCCCCAGTTAATTGAGCTAAATGTAAGAGTTTTTGGTTAATAACTTAATATTATGAGTACTTGAACTTGTGAAACTTCCCATTGGTACTTTGTAAAAATATATATTTTAATGAACATTTTCCATATTTTGTGATTCACAAGTGTTTTCCGTTTATTTACAATTGTGAATTGCATTATGGGATGTTGCTCTCTGCTCTGTCGACTCGTGATGTTGAAAATTCAACTCTACAGTTTAACAAAGGGACTTTTATTGACATTTTAGTTGTTTGAAATAATATAATGTAAAATAAATAATATAGAGAGGAATAAGTCTGGTAAATAACGTACTAGCTGTTTATTAGAAGGTTTTGTAGCATAATATACAATACCAACCTAGACAATAGATCACTTTAAATGATTGAAATTGTTAAATAAAAATCACTTTTTTTAACTTTTAAAAGGTTTTAAACGCATAAATAAACAAGTAAAAAATAAAAAATAAAATTAAAAGATGAATCACAAAATTTGGAAAACTGATTATGTTACGATATTTTTTTACAGTGTTGTCAATGAAAGTCTGTAATCTGATTTTTTTTTTTTTTATGAAGCACTTTTATGTGACCTTTGTGGCTGTCCTTAAAGTAAATGCTATTAATGTTCAAGATAATACAGAAAAAGAAAGCATAAAAAAAGCATGTGCAGATTAGTATTATTATCAGACCAATCCAAATCAAGAAAAGTGAAACAAGTTTTTTTTTATTCTTTGTATTCTGTGGTTTCAGTAAGCGTCACAGTCTGACATTTAGAGGCATGTATAATAAATGCTCAGCTTCAGAAAGGTTCAGTCCAGGTCTCTGTAAGTGCACAGATATGGTCAAATCCATCTCTTCTGTGTTCCTGGAAAGCACAGTGTTCCTGTGATGTATGTGCTAATGTGTCAGAGTGCTGTCTTAAATATTTGAACACGTTTGAGACGAATCCGTTTTTCCCTGGTGTTCCTCTGTCATCCTTTGCTAAATCAGACAGCATTGTGATTAAAAAGTTAAAGAGTAGCCACCAAAATAATTTCATGAGACCTGATACATTTATTTTTGCATGTACTTTTGTAATGGATTTTATGGAAATATAATCAACACAGCAAGTTACTAATATTTTTTATGTTTCACTGTGAAATATAGTTATCCCATGCATGGATGTATGGAGCTGCATGTTCACCAAAATGAGATAATCTTCTTGTTGTAATAGACCGGGCGGATAGGAGGCGAAAATTGTCACAAAAGTTGCTGATGAAAGTGAATCGTGATTTAGAAATAAAGAAAAATAAACTTTAAAATATTTACAAAGTATTTACAAACTTGTTCAGCTAAATCAAGACAATTATCTGAAGAAAATCTGCCAATAACGCAATGCAACCTACTCCTACAGCTACTCACTTAGAAGGGTTTGAGGCCTTTTTATATTATTGGCCCTGCCTATGGGTTAATCCATTCTACAATACAAAATCCATTCTAAAATACCAAAAAATACATAAGACATTAAACAAAAGTATAAGTTAATGCAAGTAAATAGATTATTTGGGTACATTTACATTCTTTGGGAACGTTGATTAATGTCCACAGTCCCTTGTTGTGAATTAAATTAACTTAAACTATATTTATGTCTGTTAGCAATGTTTTAATGATGATTAATAACAATAATACAAAAAATATACATTTAAATATACATTTATTTGTATATATTGCACAGATTTTATATACGTATTATTCCGCTGTGGCGACCCCGGATTAATACAGGGACTAAGCGGAAAAGAAAATGAATGAATGAACTACTACTACTACTACTACTACTACTACTACTACTGGAACTAGTACTTCTACTACTACTACTACTACTACTACTAATACTACTACTACTACTACTACTACTAATAATAATAATAATAATAATAGCATAATTACCATTAATGCAAGTATAATAGTATATTAATGCAAATATAAAGCATATTAAATTACTTATTTAATAATTGGTAACAATTTTTTGATGGTGTATTTGAGTATTAGTTAATATTTGCTGATGCTGCTCCTTCAACAGACATTTAACTGATTATAAGAACTTTGCAAGTACATGTCAACTTACACTAACCCCAACCCAAACCCCAACCCTAACCCAACCTAACAGTCTACTTATAATCTAATGAGAATTACAGTAGTTGGCATGTAGATGCTATGTAACTTCAATTCAACTAACGGACCATCAAAATAATGTGTGACCAACTAATTTGTTTGTCTATTTTTGTTTGTTTGTTTGCTTATTTGTTTACTGTACTTTTTTTAATTATTCTTTTTTAAAATTTAATTAATGTTTGCCTGGATTCATATCCCCCACCATTGCCTAGTGTGGAAAAGTTCGATTTTGATCTAATTTTGAGCCTTTCACATAATAAACAGCTAGATAAATTGTAAAAAAAAAAAAAAAAAACATGGTAACACTTTAAAATAGCTACACATTCTGAACCATTTATTAAGCTTTAGCTAATAGGGAATTAATTATCTGCTAAGCATTAACTCTACATTAATAAGCATTAGTATGCAGTTTATAACTGCAGCTACAAATGCTCTATTCTTGATTTATAACCACGTTTATAATGTGCTTAATAATTGTGCTTTCATACTTTGTTAACGATTTATTTTTCATTGCTAAATGAAGTATTACATTATTTACAAACTAGTTATTTAAGAATACTTGGTGGTTTTTAAGATTATTCCTAATGAGTTAGTAAATGATTAATAAACTATTTAATTCCACGTTTATATATCGTATTATTCAGGCACATACTAATACTAACTTAGCTTTATTAACTCAACTTCATCCAATTTTGTGACCTAATCTTAAGTGAGAACTAATATTGCTTCATAAATCCCTTATAAATGACAAATAAAGGCTAAAAAGGAAACAAGAACATAAACAACAATATTCATTCTTATTAGTTTGAAGATATCAAACTGTACACAAATCAAACTGTATCAAATGAAAAACAAATCTTTGCAACCTAATCTAAAATAAAATTGCTGTACAGTTTAAACATTTCATCTCATTATATTGTTAAATTATTGTATTGTTCTTGTTATCCAATAGTTTGTCGTATTTTGACACTCCTGTTGTTCAGCAATATTTAAACTTTATAAAAGTTATACTTTTTAAAAAGATTGCAAAGATTATTGGTCATTTGATATTCTGCCTTCTAAATAAAGCATTTAATAATAAAGCATTTAATAACATACATAGTAACCATGACTATATGCCTGAATAATAGGATGTATAAACGTTAATTTCAATATTTTATTAATCATTTACTAACCTTTTATGATGTATCTTAAAAACCACCAACTACTCGTGAATACAAATGGTTTGTAAATAATGCAATACTTAATTTAGCAATGAAAAATAAATCATTAACAAAGTATGAAAATACAATTATTAAGCCCATTATAAATGTGGTTATAAGTCAAGAATAGAGTATTTGTAGCTGCAGTTAGAAACTGCTTACTAACGTCTATTAATGTAGAGTTAATGCTTAACAGAAAATGAATTCACTAGATGCTGATGCTTAGTAAATGATTTATGGTGTGTAGTTATTATAAAGTGTTACCAAATATATTTATATTTATATAAAAAACACACCCCTTCGCCTCCCCAACCTGATTTACATACACTGAAAGATTTTCCCTCTTAAATTACCTTTGGAGGAAAACTGGCCATGGAGCTGCAGCAGAATTATTTACAATGAGAGTAATGGCTGCCAGAGAGCTCACACACTGTATACCGAGAGCTCATAAATGCCCACATATGCATGCAGGAGGGAGATCCTCTCATTCACAATGACTCCAATGGCCTCCTGAACTCCTGTGGCACCCATTAGCAATGAGTCATGGTTCAGCCAGGACTGTAAAAGACACATAAATCACAGGGCATAATATTGCTATAAACGAACCTGCCTGATTTATTCCAGTGGGCTAATGGAGAACTGATTTTTTTTTTACCATGGCTTTTCTGTGTCTCAGCTCCTCCGACGTTCACGGATACGCCGCCGCAGTATGTAGAGGCCAAAGAGGGTGGCAGCATCACTCTAAGCTGCACAGCGTTCGGCAATCCCAAACCTTCAGTCAGCTGGCTGAGAGAGGGCAACCCCGTACAGGACAGCACCAAGTACAAGGTGAGCAAACTGATCTCCTATAGATAAAGATCAGCTGGTCATGTGGTATAGGGGAGATTCTAATGGTGACATTTTTTTTTGTTTGTTTGGTGGTTTCCATGACTCTGTGATGTGTACTCAAAATCATAAAAAATTAAATAAAATTACAGTGATATCATGTTTGTGTACGCTGTAAGCAAAGCAGTGCAGCATTTAATAACACCACTTAAAGTCCACATGAAATGAAAACTGCTCTCTGTTTTTTATTTGTATTTTTTTTATAATTGTGACGGAGTTTCTAGTTATTACAACCTTTGAGACACCTTCTCCTGTTTATTGTCATAGCGTAGAGTATACTCGGACATTCTTTTTGAATTAGGAAATGTCATAACTCAATTAAAACTTACGAATAAATATCATATTAGGAATGAACAATAAAATAAACAACTATTTCATTAGTTTAATTTCTAAACGTTCAAATCACACAAAATCACCTCTAGAAATTCACCCCTCCCCAGGAGAATCGTCAGTCCATAGCAGATATATATATATTTATCGAGGATTTGAAGGATCGTGACACCTTTAATAATATACTGTGTAAAAAAATACAATATGCATCAAATTTTTATTTATTTATTTATGTAACTACACATGATTTTTAAGACAATGCAAAGCAAAGTTGATCTTAAATAATGCACTCCTTCAGATCCGAGTCAAGCTTGTATTGGCGGAGAAAATCCGACAGTGAAATAGACATCACAGACAGAGGCTGTGTTCAGAATCCAGAGCCTTGACAGATAAATAAGTACTACATGTTTGTATTATTGACTTTGGGAAAAGAAAACATTGCGCTGTTATCCACTCGCTTTCTCTCCACCAAGACAGCTCTGTGTGTGTGTGTGTGTGTCTAATAAAGATAACAGAGCTTTGGTTGCTGGTTTAGGACCTAGAGTACGAATGTCTGTGTGAAGTCACTGAATCATGTCTAAATATCAGATGTGTGTCAATATTTGCTGTATTTGAGAAATAAATACTAAATAAAAAGCCAATAGATAGTGTAAATGTTAAAAAGTTGCAAATAATTGAATGTTTAATTGGACAACAGACACATTCAAAAGCATTTTAACTACAATGATTTTTTTTTAAATGAATATTTCACTTTTATCATTTAAACATACAACATAGGTGCTTTTGAAAACACTATTGGTTGGGTTCAGTGAAGGAGGAGGGTTGCTCAGTCAGTCAGTCAGTCAGTCAGTCAGTCAATCATTCAAACAGTCAGTCAACAGCAGGCCTCTGGTGGAAAAAGAGCAGGCACGAATGGCACTTGCGAAAGAAATTGGACATCTCAAAAAACGGTCACAGCAGCCTCTGGTAGAAGAAGAGCAGGTGCAAATGGCACTCACAAAAGAAAATTGAGATCTCAAAAAACGTGTACAGCAGCCTCTGGTGGATTTGCGAAAACAAAAACTGCAAAACATTAGCCCCTGTGTCGTATTTGGTGCTCTCCAGAAATGTATATAGTGGTACATTTTCAGAATGACTGACCCCGCTGGGATTTGCTTATTGTGCTGTATCCATTGGTCAATAAAGTTGTAGGTGACCTGAAAGCTGAGTTTCTTGTTTATTTTACCACCCTGATTACACAATTTATAGTCACACTTTACAATAAGGTTTATTAGTTAATGTTAATTAATGCATTTACTAACATGAACAAACAATGAACAATACATTTACTACAGTATTTAGTCATAATAGTAAACGTTAGTTAATGAAAATACAGTTGTTCATTGTTAGTTCATGTTAACTCATGGTGCATTAACTAATGTTAACAAGCACGGATTTGGATGTTCATCGTAATGCATTAGTAAATGTTCAATTATGATTAATAAATGCTGTACATGTGTTGTTCATAAATAGTTCATAATAGTAAATTCATTAACTAATGAACCTTATTGTAAAGTGCTACCCAATTTCTTTGTCTTTGCATACTATTAGCCTAAATAAACTGCAGATTAACTGTAAAATGTTATTAAATAAGATAGGTAAAGCTTAACATTAAATAAATCAATTTGCAATGCTTCATTAATTGTTACAACAAAGTCAAAATAAATAGCTCATAAGAATAATATACAGTGCTAAGCTGAAATAAGTACACCCTTTACAAATCTAGCTTTTAAATTTATATTTTTAATAGGAAGCTATACAATTATGTATTTGCGCATATACATTGGATTAGTCAGAACTGAAGCCAAATCTGGAGTTTATCTAAATAACTTACGATAACGGTCCAAACACTAATAGACCCACATGTATATGTTATAGAAAATACTAAATACAGATTTTTTATTTTTTTTTAAAGGAAAAGTCAACAGAGGAATATTCTTTTTTTTATTTATTAGAAATTTTGTATGATATATTGTATTTTTCAATATTTTGCTTGAATTTAATTGTATAATCTTTCAATTTCTAAATATGTTTGGTGACTAAAATATTAAATTCACCATAATACATTGCCTATATTGACTGAGAAATGGATTAAAAAATGTTTATTTTCAAAATGGGGTGTACTCAATTGTGCTGATCACTGTATAAATATTTTTTAAAATTCTGCCTCTTTTAGTATAGGCTAATGAGAGAAAGGACAACATAATTCTATAATGTGACAGGGATGCTTGACAACAGATTGAGGATCCTTTTGGCAGGTTTATTTAGAAGAATGGTTGGACAAGGTCAATACAGGAACAAACAGAAGTATATGGCCAATCCAGAGTCTTAATCGAAATAACAGCGATAGATCAGAAGGCAGGCAGCATACAACGTAAGCAAACAAAACATAGAAAGGTCTAAACATGAAAGGCAAGGGAAAATGCATCGTAATGTTCACAATCAGTTTACAAGACTCAGCACATATGTGTGTGTGAGTGCTCTATAAATAGTCCATGAATCAGTCTATGAGCAGCAGTGTGTGTTGCATGACTGGATCTGTAGTTCATTTTAAGTCAGTATTGTAGTTCTTGTGAATGTTCTCCAGCGATCTATGGTGGTTATATCGATGGTGGTCGTGATAAATACAAATGCAAAATGCTTTTTTTTTTCAGATCAAAATGTGCATGTGTTGTAAGGATTTGCAGGGTGTTTCCTAATGTGCATGTGTTGTGAGGATTTGTAGCTCATTTTCTATTTGTGTTTATGTTGTGAGAATTTGCAACATATGTGCATTTAAACCAATTAAGATGTTTTCTTAATTTTCTGGGTTTTTTTTTTCATGTTGAGCTCTCTCAGCCACTGTGTAAACATGTTCAAAATTGTATTCCTTTTTTGCTGTGGTTTTGGGGAACATGATGTGACAGCCATCGTGGTAAGGATAATTAAAGAGTTCCTACAGTGTTTGATTGATATCCTTCTCTTCAAAAATACAGGATGGCAGTTGCCCCACTGTGAGAGCTCAGAATGTTTGATGACTGTGGAAATGACAGGTCATAGGCACTTTGACAACTCCGTCCTCTATCTTTATTTCTTGCTGTCTCTTTCTGTCCAATTTGCTATAGTCACGGTCCCAAATCTGGCCCTCCATGAGGTTATCACTGCCCGCCACCACAATTCAATAGCTGCTTCTGTGTTTTTAAACAGAGGTTAAGAAATGTTCTCTATTAAGTTTATCATTTTTATGTTTTTACCAGCCTCTTGTCTAAAGGTGGCCTTCAAGCTAAGCAATTTGAGTATGCCTGCTGTACGGGTTTAAACTGTCACATTGGAGAAATCAAGCTACAGTTTTAACACAGTAATTGCACGGCCTGTAGGAACAACTAATTAATCCCCCTCAGCCCTGTCATATTCCCTAGTTGTTTAACACTAGCCCTCTGTCCATCTCGATGCTTATAACTATGCTCATTTAAACTATGTGTCGTGAAGGTGTCCCTTGGGCGTGTTATGTCCATAGTACTGTGTAATTAGGAGCCAAATAAACCATCCAAGTATTTCAACACTAATGGAATTCCTCGACTTGACTGACGTCTTTTATTTTTTATCAAATGAGTTGTCTTTGAAACGAAACAGATTCCTGGATTCTCTTGTTCAACCCAGAGCCTAAATACAGGCTCTTTTCTCAGAAGCAATCCATTGACCGTGTCTCCGGCTAGCCAAAAAATAAACCTAACTATCAAACACTTACTGAATATAAACCATCTGCCCACTAAAAACTAAACGGAGAGATTCCTTCAGGAACGGATGGCTTAGTTCTCGGTCTGAAAAGGGTTTGATTTACAAGAGCCCATTGAGAGATCTCCATCTTCTCACACATAGCAGAGTAATGACAGCCTGTCAGCGACGAGCTTTACTCTGTGATTGAACACTTTTGAAGTAGGGTGAGATAACATCAGGAGAGGAACAACAGTATTCATTGCTTGTTAATTTAAAGGATGCCAAAGTCTTTGTTCAGTTAAAATAGAGAACTGTTTTGACTGATATGGCCTATAATGTTTTGTAAAGGAAGGAGGACAACTTCTGGATATGCCTGCCATGTGTGTAAACCATGATTCTGGGGTGGGTTAGTACAGTGTAATTGTACAAAATGATCTAGGTATAAGGACTGTACTGTGCATACTGTTCTTAAAAGCTGAAATGATGTAAGAAATATGCTATAATCCACATGCTGTATACAGAAAATAATCACCTGCCTTATATGATGTCGGTCAATGATTGTTCAACCTACTGTAACAGGCCATGGACTCTACAAGATCCATGAAAAGGCACTTTTCCGCTGCATGTAATGGTGTGATTTGGTTTTGTACAGCTTACTTTTGAGAGCTTTTCCAATATGTTCTGCAGTAACTTGTGCTTTGTTTAGTGCCACCTTGGGTAAAGTTTCAAGCAAGCCATACCAATACCAAAATGAAAAAATATAAAGTCGGGTCTATACCAGGGATGGGCAAACTTGATCCTTGAAGGCCGGTGTCCCTGCAGAGTTTTGTTCCAACACTAGTCAAACACACCTGAACATGCTAATCAGTGTCTTTAAG